GTTACACTCGGGGACCGTTGTGGGTATAACGATTTATAAAAACTCTAATTTTGACGTTCTTAAAACAGTCATTGTAAATTCTTATTGGAAATATATTTTTTGTGTGCATGAGAAATTTTAATTTAATTAATAATAAATGAGCATTTCCAAATTCCTTGATTAAAAAAAATATTTATTTAACATACAAATTACTTATTAAAAAATTTGATGTAAAATAATTAAAAACGGTTTAAAATTGTGTTATATACAAATTTAAAAATATATAAGATTTAAATAAAAAAAAAAAAAATCATTCAGGAAATCGAATCTGCAACCCCGAGCGTAGTAATCTACGTCTTACTGTAGACGCTACGTTGCTAGCTCGAAAATTGCTTTTCCGTAACGGTACTATAGGGACAAAAATTTTTCTCGAAATATTTAAAAAAATATTTCTCGAGAATGCCTCAATAGTGGGCCTTACGGTTTTACAGGAGTAAATGTATGAGTGCATACTACACACCCATAAAATTTTATTCAAATCGGTGATCAGAGACTGCCAGGTTCTCCTTGTCAGTGTAGTAGAGCAGCTGACCGCCAAAGTCCCGAGTTCAATACTTAGCCCAGCAAAATCTCGCCCCCGCAAGAATTTTCAAAAATTGTTGTATATATGCACTTTAATAATACAAAACTTGATTCACAATGTGTTCTTTGCTTTCTGTTTTTTCCTCTTTATCTCTGACGTTTTTCCTTCTCGATGTACCGTTTTACCGACGATTGTGTCTTTTGTCACGTATCTATTATCTCTTCTAAAGTGCGTCAACTGTTAAGTTTTACCTACAATATGCTGTTTGTTTCTTGTTTCTTTCTATTTATCTCTTCTTGACTTAAACCTTGGGTCAGAAAAGGATAGAGATCAAGGAACAAGAAATAAAGAGCATATTGTAGATCAGGCTTTACCTCAAAACGATAATAAGAAACACAAGAGACACCATGAAACCAGTGAAGTTAAATGAAATTGGTCAGTCTATTAGCTAACCAAAACGACCTATTCTGATTCGTCTATGCGAAGTGACACTTTCCTTCAGAGAGAACAAATTGTACACAATAATGTTCCTTCGTTTTAGACGACAAGAAGACAAGAAACAAAAGACGGAAAGCAGAAACAATGAAAAAGATACAAGCATACATTGTAAATTAAGTTTATATGTCATTGCCTTTTTTTTACTGCAGTAGGATTTGTATAGTTCACAAATATATTAACGGCAATTTGATACCACACTTAAAAAAATGGTCTTGCAGTCATAGTGAAAATGATTTAGATACAAGAAAATACCTAAATAGATAAATGACTAGCGAGTTCTGCGATATCGCATATGTTTTGTGTTTAATCAATATATTGTATTTAATTTGTATTTAATCAATATAGACGACACAGATAGAATTTATATCTGAACTATACGTAAAACTTAGCAAAAAGTTTCTCTGTGATATTTATCTAGATTAAAACCGATTACATTTCTTATACAAATTAACTGTAATCATAAACAAAAACGACGAGAGACAAACTATTGTATAATCTTCACACTCACCTAAAGTTGTTTACAGATATTGCTAAAATGCTTACTGTGCTATAAATTCTATATATCATAGACAATTTTTTAACAGATACAAAAAACAGCAATAAATTTTAACTGTGATATTTAGAATTCTTATATTAGCAAAAAATTTTTTGAAACCACAATTGTAAGTTCTCTCGAATATTTGCAAAGAATGTCCGATAAATATCACATGATCTCTTGAAAGCTAATATTAATTGTTTTTTATATACATCGCTTAATACATACACTCAACACATACACACACACACATACAACTGCTCGAAAACAACAACTCTCTTTGGATTCCTAAAAGAGCAATGTTTAACGCTTTATTATTCTAATATTTTAAAACTGTTTTTGGTTTTCATTACTCGTATTAAGGATGACTTATGAAAATGCAATGAACGTAATTTGCAAACTATAAATATTTTATATTGTAAACAAATCACAATTCTCAAAATTTTTCCAAACTTGTAATTTTCTATAGTAAAATATATCATAATTATTATTTATTTATCCTCTATAATTAACAGAAAATAGTGTAGTAAAAATTACATTAAAATTATATCTCTTTGTACAATGCTTTTGTTAAGTTTATAATTCTATAATTAATGTCTATAATTAATAGGAGAAAATAGTGTAGTAAAAATTACATTAAAATTATATCTCTTTTTACAATGCTTTTGTTAAGTTGGATTACGCTGAAATTGTAGTCTAAAGTACTATAGAAATAGTAAATTTAGCGATCTACTTGACATACGATATAAAACAAATATTTAAGTAGTTATAATAATTTTATAATGAAAAACCAGTCGTGCATAACTTTTCTAAACAAATATATAGTAATTATATATAATTTAGATCATAATTTTGCATGATCCAAAATTGTAAAACTTTTGTTGTAATTTTAACAATATTTTGTAGCAAAAAGCAAATCCTGTGTACAAAAAGACTAATAAATTGACCCAAAATAAAAAAAATATGAATTTAATCGGGATTAAAAATCTATAATCATAAATAATAATTTGTATACTTATTCTTATAATACTGACAATTAAATAAAAAGCCAAAATGACTTTTTGAATACGCAAAGTAAATTATAATATAAATTGACCATAATATCATCAATCTTTTCCGTTACATTTTCAACGTGTTCTATTTGAAAAATAATTATAAGTCATAAGAGATATTTTTCCTAAACACAAGAAATGAAGATAACAAAAGGATATTAAAGGGGTCAAAATTACTTTATATGGTTATTCTAGTGTTAATAAGTCTCTTTTGATTAACTAACACAATACTTAATGATACAATGAATAAATATAGTTATATTTGTTCAACCTCTTTATCTCTAATTTTTCAGGCTTTATCGATATATCGATGTTAATTCCTTCTGACAATAAGCTTCTAAAAAATATTAGGTATGCAAATGAATAATCTAAATTTTTTATGTAAATTTAAGATTTATTTGAAAGAAAGAAAATTTTTCTACCAAAATATTCACCGTTGGTCTTCAAGAGAGTTCACGCAATATTTATCGGACATTCTTAGCAAATATTCGAGAGAACTTATAGCTGTGGTATATTTTCGTGCACTCAAAATAATATTTTGCTAGTCCAAATAAAAGTCTAAATGTCACAGTTAAAATTTATTGCTATTTTTTTGTATCTCCTAGAAAATTGTTTGCGGCACGTAGAATTTATAGCAGTAGCAGTGTTTATAACAGCAGCTTTTAGATTCCATTTCGAAAATATGTCTTTGGACACGATGAAATCATCAAGCCATTCGTATAACATTTACAGATTGGAAGTATTGAACAAGGTGTGTTGCATCAACCGGAACAAATGGTAATCGTAAAAAGCCATACTTACTGAATATACCGAGGGCTGCAAAATGTTTTAGTCGAAATTCGTTATAGTGTCTTTTGTCTTAGAAGTAACATGTGATCTGGTGTTGTCATGCAATAATTTCACAGGACGTTCTTTTTTGCTAGTATATGGGTGTTTTCGTTCCAATTTCTGACTCAAGTGGTTAGTTAGCTTTAGTAGCAGTCCGCAGTAACTTTTTTACTTAGTCTCAGCAGTTCATAATAATGCAGAGCAGAACCCTGTTTCCGAAACGTTTACGACTGATGTTTACCGGGACTGGGTTTGCCGGGATTTTTACCCATGGCTTTTTACATTTCAGATTGTCATAGAGTATTTAGTTTTCATCGCCTGTAACGATTTCTCATAGAAAGAATTTCTGCGTTACTTATTGAGAAAAGAAATACACGCTGCAACTCGTAGATTTTTGTTGGCTTTAATGAGTTCATGCAAAAACCACACTTTCTTCCTTTTTGGATATTTTTCAGCTTATGTAGCTGAAATTCCCAATTGTAAACTCTTTTCGTGTTTGTGCCGAACTTTCACCAAGCAGTTACTCCAAATAATCGGTGTCGCACTTCCGAGGATTTCCAAGTTGTTTATCGATTAGGCTGAAGTCACCGCTTTTAAACTTAAATCAAAATGCGTACACATCGTACAATATAACATCTTCACCGAGAAATGAACAAGTTGATTCGCATGCTTTTGTAGTTTTTTTCCTTGTTAGAATTTGTAAAGAATGTATGTTCTGATATGCACCTCTTTTTTCATATCTTTTACCATTTTTAACGCTACTAAACTGAATACTTTTTAAAATTATATTGTGCAAAACAAAAAATATAATTTTGGATACCTATACATATCAATATTACATAATTGCAAAAGAACGGAAAAATTAATTGATTTAAAAATTACTCTTTAACTGTTTAAAAAATTTAAGACTATTCATTTGTATATATTTAATATAACCAAAGAAAGCACTCTAATGCTTTAGTGTTTCTCTCCTCAGATTTTGCTGGCGTTCTCTCATGGACTATATCTCAATGTGACCTATTTTATATTATATTCAACCCAATGACCTATTTTATATTATACTTGCTTATCTAAATCTTTATAATCCAAAATCTTACATTTGTGTAATATCTGCGAGTAATACGTTCATAATTTCATTTTTGCAACTATCGTTGTAATCCAAAACAACAAAAAACAACTAAAAGTGTGTTAAGCATTGCGCTTTTCCTATTACTTCTCACCAAAGTGTTTCGCACTCGAAGTTACAGCCCGAGATTATTAACGGTATACGCGAATTTTCGGCTATTTACCGTTCTTTGTCCGCTCGGTGAAGGGTCGAGGCAAGTCGAAAGAGCGAAAGCTCGCAGAATAAAGTCAATCGCTGAACTACATGCGCCGCCGCATAAAGCATCATATTTTTTTATCTTTTCTTCGATATACCGGTATGTCAAAGTGTTTCGCGATTGAAATCACGCGAACCGTGCAAGAGAGCCCGTACGACGTGCACAGAACGGCGAACACGACGATCGATCTTTCGCATAGTTACCTGAAGTTTGGTTCACTCAGCAGCCGAAACCTTGAACGCTGGCTTGTGCCACCGTATTCCAAGTTTAACTGCAAATGGTTCAATTAAATTTGTCCTGTCAATTAGAAGCGAAAGAAAATAAATGTAATTTTTCTTCTATCCGAGAGAGAGAGAGAGAGAGAGAGAGAGAGAGAGAGAGAGAGAGAGAGGGAAAGAGAGAGAGAGGTCATGGGACCCTCAAAACCTTGAACCCTTTTGTACCTTAAATTATTCTTTTGAGTTAAAATCACGTCTCCTAAACGTTATACTTTTTGTCAAATACGACAATATACGCAGTTGGATTAGATTATGATCAGTAAACATAGCCAGTCAAGTTAGTTATATACACCTGCTTTGAACACTTTTTTCTAATTATTTTATTTCTTATTAATCTTATCATTTTACGAAAATTATATTCTTTAATCTTAATCTAATATATTGAAATTATTTCTGTCTTAACTGATTTTTAATTTTGAATTTCCCGCAAGTTAGTGGAATAAAAATTTTTATTTTTGCGCTAATAAAAAGTTATAGTTGCTGAAAATATAAAGTTTAAACAAAGTTAAGTCATAACTTGTAATATAAATATATATAAAACTGCTTTATATAAAGTCGCTTTTGATCCTAGTGTGCTACATTAAGATGTCAGAATTAAAAATAAATCAATGTTATTAGATAATTCTGAAAGAGAGAGCACTCTATTAAACGACGTAAATAAGGGACCATTTAAAATATTTTTATTTGTAGAAATATTGTGTCTTATCTTTAAAAGAATAAGATCGGAACTCAAACATTTGAATTGATATTTAAAGAGATTTTGACATACTAATTAACAAGATACATAACAAAATAATTATTGGATAATCAAAGTATCAAATAAAGATTTTATTTTTCATTATATATATATATATATATATATATATATATATATATATATATATATATATATATAT